GAGGCCTCAGCACTGGAGTATTTGCGAAGGAAGGGCAGCAATATAGATCCACACATAGATGATACATGGTTGTGGGGAGAGCGGATCGTTGGCATCAACTTACTTGAGGATTGCTTCATGACATTTGTAAATAGTCAGGGAGCCAATCTTGAAGTTTTTTTGCCGCGAAAATCTTTATTTATAATGTCTGATGAGAGTCGCTACTCTTGGATGCATGCTATTAGATTGGAAGATGTCACTAACAGAAGAGTTTCTATAACTATAAGAGAGCTATCTGAATCATTTAAAAAGGAAAACGAAATTATGAGTAATCAAATTCTCGATACCGCAAAAAAATTTATATAATGATGTCCTTAGTCGTTTTAGTCTATCGCTTTCTTCTCACACTCAAAGGCTAATTATTTAATATGTGACTGAGGGTCGATTATTATTATTGTTCTACACCTAAACCAATTATTTACTACGTTTTTTTTTGTCATCTTCTATATCTTGAATATAAAAAGGATGAATGAAAAAAATCCAAAAAGTAATGGGGCCGAAATCCCCCTAGCAGCTCTGCCAGCACTAGAGAATGAATCCCTAAAAGGAAAAATCCCATTACCCCACTGGGAGGAGCTCCCACATTCACATTTTAGTGGCATCGATGGGACCCCATCGCTGCAAAATGTCATGCTTCACTTTTTACGGCAAGGTCGGTTATCTAAAGAAGATGCAATTTCTTTGTCAACACAGGCGGCGATCTTGTTGCGAAAAGAGCAAAATACGTTAATGCTTCAGGGCCCTGTCACTGTAATTGGGGATATTCAAGGCCAGTTTTATGACCTTGTCAAAATATTCAGCTTTAATGGAAAACTTGCGGATAGCCAATACCTTTTTCTTGGAAACTATATTGGTGGTGGTGGGTATAGTTGTGAGTGTATTTTGTTTTTGTTTGCTGCAAAATTGGCTTATCCAAACTCTATTTTTTTATTACGTGGGAACCACGAATCCCGTATGATGGCCAGCATTCTTGGGTTTGAACTCGAGTGTTCGAAAAAATACTCTGCAAAAGTCTTCAATAGCGTTATGGTCGCTTGTCAATATCTACCCCTTTCTGCCGTTGTATCCGAACGTTATTTCTGTGTTCATGGTGGGTTATCACCGGACATCTCTTCCATTGAGGATATTAATTTTATTCATCGTTTTAGAGAAGTGCCTACTAAGGGGGCGATGTGCGATTTACTATGGTCTGATCCTTATTGGGATGTTGAGAATCCATCTTCGGCAGGGGACGGCCAAACGGATTATTACAAGCCAGGTGCAGGAGTGTTTGATAGGAATCCAATTTTTTATGAAAACGAAAGGCGTGGTGTTAGTTTCCTTTTTAACTTTGCTTGTGTGAGGCATTTTACTTCGGTAAACAAAATTTTATGCATTGTGCGGAGCCACGAAGCTCAAAATGAAGGTTATAAGTTGTACCGGCCCCACCCTAATACCAACTTTCCTTGCATGCTAAGCTTATTTTCAGCCCCCAATTATTGTGGGACCTTTGATAACAAAGGCGCATTTGCTCATCTCACTGAAAATAATGTGAGCATAAGGCAATTTTTCTGCTCACCACATCCATATGAATTGCAAAATCTTAATGGTATCACTTGGTCTCTACCTTTTGTCGCAGATTCTTTACAGGGCATTATTTTTGAGCTTTTTGCTGAAAAGAAGTGATTGTGTGAATTCAAATTTGCAATTTATATCAAATATTATTATAGCACTGTATTGTAAAAATAAAAGAGTAATAGAGGCATAGAGTTTTGAAAAAAATCCTGGATGTATGCCTCTTTACCTTTTACGTTTTTCATTGTTGACTTGTTAGGCGATAGCAAGCATATCAAAAAGTGCAACCTTAAATGGATATGATACTTAAATTTCTGATCTTTTTCTTTTGTTAGATCTAAATAAATGATAATAAACATTTTTATATTTTTATTTTTCTCTCAATCCGAAGAAAAAATTTCCAGGTTTAATCAAAATAAGACTTTTAGAATAAATAAGTTTGTAGACTCTCATTTTTTTTAAATGCACAGAGACTTCAGAACATTGAAAAGTAAGGTGAATAATGCGATTCATGAAAATTATTCTTTGATTGATTGTTCAGAAATTAGCAATGAACTTTCACTTGCTTTAGCATCTAGTCCGGACTCGGATGAGCTTAAAGCTTTAAACTACCGCTACCAAACTTATTTAGGCAAAAAGTATGTAAAAGATCATGCTCTAGATATATTTTTAAGTGACATCACTCAGCAGCTTTTGAAAAGAAAATCAGAGCAACCACTTCAAGAAATATTAGAATTCTTGAATAAGAATGAAATTCATCGATGACAGGAGTGCATTTTCCCCGATAAGCGTATTCATGTGTAAAAGACCCTTGCTAAGTCAAACCTTTCTATTTTTTTTAAAGATAACTATCATATTAATTAACGTATTTCCTGTTCATTTATTTTACTTATCTCAATTTTTGTCACACTTTACTTAACCTATATATTAATCTCCCGTATGCAAATAATAAAGCGTGAATTTCATTTTTTATTCTTTTTGCTTACATCGTATATATAATATCGATAGAGGATTCAAGCTTTTTTTCTTCTGCAAGCAACAGCTGCACGTTTATTCGAATAAAAATTTACTTAATGCTTACTGTAGGTCTTTCAACCTGAATATATGCAGTGTTATGTTTCTAACACCACACATCAGATGTGTTGAAACTCTTGGATACTCTAACGACGACGTAGCTCAATCATATATGAAATATATTATTGAGCGAATAGCTTTAATATTACCGCGTCGTGGATGGCATATCGGAATTTTGAAGGAATTCTACCCATCTAAGTCCTCACTTCTTGGGCTTAATATACAACAAGGAGTCGAAATATGCATCCGCCTTAGGGTTCCAGGCAATAAACAAACCTTTTTACCTTTTCATGAAGTAGTTTGTACTGCTCTACATGAACTTGCACATTGTCAGGAAAAAAAACATAATATGTTGTTCTGGAACTTGTATTATGAACTACTCCGTGAGTGTGAGGTCATTGAAGCAAAAATGCTCATGCAAGGTAGGGTGCTATACCCTGAACATATTCTGTCTTCTGTTGAGAACACCATTACAAAACGTGTTGGTAATAAGTTTCAAAAAAGGGGGAAAAAGGGATCTGAAAAAGGTAAACTTGAATCAACGCAGCATTCAACTACAACGCCTAATTTCAGTTTGCTTTTAGATAATTCAAGCAAAACCGAAGGATTTTTTGGAGTTGGGCATCGTTTGGGCGGTCTACAACTCCCTAATGGAAGCAAGCCCAATTCTGATTTTCTTGCTACTATTATTGAAAATCGCCTGCAGGGACAAGATACGCATTTTATTCGTCCTGAAAATGCTGAGGTAAGGTTTGACTTGGGATCGCCACCAGAAACTAAACCAATTGATATATACACCAGTTGGAGCTCACAATATATGCTCTGCGGATCTTGGAGCCAGGACAACATAGAAAATTCCGAGGCTTGCGCTGATGATAGAATAATTAGCGTTGACAAATACGAGGATCCACTCGATATTCATGAAGGACAAGAAATGCATATATTAAAACATCGCAAATTAGAGCAAGTAGAAGATCATACTGCTTATCTTGCCAAAAGGGTTCCTGATGATGATGTAGGTTTAAGAGCATCATGTCCAATTACGATTGATTGATTTTGTATAAACCGTACATTTAGTATCACCTATTTAAGGTTTAATTATAATTGCCGGATTATGGAGAACGCAGAGCGTAGAGTGTCAAAAATTGAATTTGGTCTAATATCTTTTGAGATAGTTTTTTGGATAAATGCCTGTCTCTTTCGAACTCCAATCAAGGCTATATACTCGCGCCGATCAAGGGAAGCTTTATTATTCTAGCCAGAGCAGAACACTCATACACACACACAGACACACATGCAAAGATAAGCAAATTACTCCAAAAATGACCTTATTGTAAAAATTCATCAACATTAAAGTATGCAGCATCCGCTGCTTATTGAAGGGGTGGTATGATGAATTGTAGGTTTGTATCGAGAGATTGGTTTCTTTAGATTTACTTCTTCTGTACAATTATATATGGACGGAGGAATCAAGTCGAATTTCTATTTGTCTTGATAGGATCTGTCAATAATCGCTTTCTATATGTTGTAAATTGAGACTTACCAAAAATATAAAAGGAGAGAAACGTTAGATTAGCTTATATAAAATAATACATGGATTGTTTTTAGCCGTGAGGATTCATTTCCTTCCTTTTCATGTAAATATGCCAATCTCATTTTCACATCCTTTACCACTTCTGATTTATTTTCTATAATTTACATTCTAAAAGAATTTGCGCAATAAAAAAAGCTCTTCTTTTGATCGTCAATTATTGTCTCTTGTTTATATATTTTAGCGACTCTTTGGTTCATCGAGTACTCGGGGTGTTGCATAGAAACAAAAACAATAGCTAGAAGCCAGTTGTTCTAGTTTTTGCGACACTTTAGTTTGCTATGCGACTATTTCTGAGTATGCATTGCAAATAGAGTTTTAATTATTTACTTTTCTTGATCTCAAGAAAAAAATTCACCTGTCTGTCGATGAATTTTGTGTTTATGATTTCGCAAAAGTGTATTACGAGCTGAAAAGTGATATCTAATATTTGATAGATCTAGGACGAGTTAAATACAATTCATCACAAGGGAAAAAATCGAACTTACGGTTTAGGATCTAACTGGAGCGAGGATTAGTAAAATTCTTCTCAACAAAGAAAATATGAGGAGGTCAAAATTGAAATGTGCATCATTGTATTCCCTAACAGACTTGGCTTTTCGTTATCTTCACTATCGCTGATACGTGTGGAGGTCTATAAATTATTCTAGATTCCTATTTTCTCCATCTATACTGACGCTTAACGTTTGAGTTATGTAACTCATTGGCCCTGAGTGTTCTGTTGACATTGCTAGTTGACCAATCTACTATTGTCAATTATCCTTACTTCTACTTTAGATGTCATTGCACTATATCTGAGGTTAATTCTATTCAATGAAGGGGAAGGGCCTCTTGCTCATTTTTCGTATAATATCTCTTCCTTGGGTTAAGGAATGATATTTCAATACCGGCGCATACACACTTAAATCCCTAATGTGGGTGGTTATACCCTGGAGGCACTCAGCTCATTAAGGATTCAACGGTAAATAGTGGTTACATCGGGGCACCTCTTTATTGTTAGGATGACGTTATGAACGGTCGTTGCGATGAGACAAATCTCCGAATGGTGTCTTTTAGTATTTATATTTTTACCACCACTCCTTCTAAACTCTCTATGGGTCAACAAATAGAGTCGTCACGCACAGTTTCGACAACTGATGTCGTTCGCTTTTCAAAACAAATGTGTCAGATATTTTACAAACTTTAGGTGATTATGTTGTAGCACTTTGAAGTTGCTGCCCGCAGGCCCAGGCTGTGCCTATGAGCGTGGAATCATTGTCGCAGAAAGAAACGGATCACCACGGTCGAGAGCCCTGCGGCCTGCAGTTCCTCTGATTCATCCAAAGGAGGAAGGGTAGGCTTGCGATTTATGACCCGAATACAGCGCATGGGAGTCATTGGTTTACTGAAGTTCTTATTGCTGTTTTCGGTTGCATGTTTTCTTACAATGTCCATTGGGTGGCATTGTTTAGTGTGTGGTTGAACCTCAGTCTGTGTCCGTTCGCAGGGCCCCATAATTAATTGAAGTTTAGACAACGTAATCGCTCAGCGTTACATGGCGCTGTTTCGGGAGCATGTGCTCTCACGTAACAGACCTCATAGTTCCTGTTTCATTTTGAAACTTTTTTGAGACTGCACTTACGGTCTTTCATAGACTTTTTGCTGTGTGTTAGAATCTGGAAGCGATCTTTTCGATATGGCTGCAACAACGAGGTGATATTATCAATTATTGGGATATTTTGTATTCTCGTGTATTTTTTTTGACCATATTGACAGGAATTTCAATCTTTTTTTCTATGGATTTCCGCGAAGCCATGTTGTGAATTTCATGGCGAGAGATGCTGTTCGATAACAATTTTCCATAGTCCGCAAAGTGCAAAGCTCAACGCAAAGCTTTAAAAAGTCATGATGAAACTCGTTACCAACTTATCCATTTGGTTCGCATGTCTGCTTTTCTAACATTCAGAAAAGGCGTATTTTCACCTTTTCGTGCCATAAAGTCTAAGCCATGCTTGCACACAAAAGCGTAATAAAAAGTACTGAGAACAGTAATAGCGATGATAGTGCTCCAGATGAAACAGGTGATGGTCCGATATTTTTTGAAGACAGAGACCGGGGCTCCGAAAACTGTGATATAGATGACGGTGGTAAAAAGAGCTCTGAAAAGATGGAATCGTAGAAAAATTTTAAATATATTAAAAAATGAAATATGATTCTCAGTGCACAATTTGTGAAAAAGCGTGACAAAAGCTTCAATCAGTATTTAAAAAAATGAAACTCTTATTCGAAATTTACGGTAATGAAGGGATGTCATCGTATCAAAGAAAGAGGTTGGGATAGATTCAACATTTTTTTTTTTACTTAATCAAAATGTTCTAAGGACTTATTTGGTACAGGACATAAACTCTGTTTCTTGATGAAGAATTTCAAAAACAACAATATCCATGGTGTGTGTCAAATCTGACAATAGAGACAAACCGGAAGGTTTAAGAGATATAATTCTCTTAACGTTGTATTTGATGTTATCAGTATTCATTGTAAGTCTTATTTGATTTTTAAAAGGTCAAAATAAAAATGATACATTTTTTTTAGAGCCGATTTATTTATTTATTCCTGAAGTTTCTTGTGCTAGTAACAATAAATACAAAGAGGATAGGGTGTCTTTTTTAAAATAAAAAAGTGTTTGCGCTATATTCATTATCTCCGTTATGAGTAGTATCAAACATAAGCTGGTCTTGGATGTTTCAGCCACAGGATACATGCCTCCTATCAATATTGGCCTACCGTTGACATCTACATCCGAAGAACGTTCTGATCCAAATGTTCAACGTGTAAACATCAAGTCGGCCTCCAAGCATGACGCGAAATCTACAGTGTCACGTTCCATTTTTGGTGTAAAAGATCACAGTATCAAACCCAAAACGCTTATTCATTACATCTTTTCCAGACCTAATGCCCGTTCAAATGTTAATCCTCATGCATCCGATGCCCCGGGTGTAGGTGTAGAGCCTAGGGCGACTGATGCCCGTTTACAACCTGTCAGTCCTCGTAGAACGGGCATACGCGAACAAGTGGCTTCGACCACTGGTGCTGGCGTAATCACCTTAGGCTCGTCTTTATCCTCAAATCGGCACATGGATGGAATCAGTGTCTCAATTTCCCAACCCCATATACGGAACATGGCAAATACTTTGCGTTCTTTTAGCTTTTCACCGGCACATTTTAACACTGAGGCTCATGAAAACTATCAACAGCTGAGCATTGAAGGAGTTCGCACCGGGGAGAAAAGTGTCATTGAGATCAGTGAATCTCATAAAAAGAAAGATAGCATTACTCAAAATTTCAGTTCTTCTAACCAAGAAGAAGAACAGCGTCGTCGTTTTTGTAAAATTAGAGGCGAATGTAGAAATCTCACTGATCAGCTCCAAAAGAAAAAAATGAAAATTCAAAGAATGTGCGCTATCTTCGCACTATGTATCGAGGCAAGTGAGAGGAGGTCTCAGATTGAGTGGGATTACTGGGTAGAACGGGATAAATATAGCCACTCTATTCTTGAAAAAGTTCATCAAACCAGTCATCTTACTAGCTTGCAGCTAAAGGCAAACTACACATCACATGTAAATGAACTCCAAAAAGAAGTGCAGCGTCTTAGGCGCGAATTAGAAAGTTTTAAGTCAATAAGAGATGAATTAAAAATGCAGGAAGTGCAAATCAGGGCTGATAAATCAGCTGAAAATGAGATATTAAAACAAGAAATAGAACAAATGAAGTGTAAGATGGAGGAGCAACGCGCTAGATTTGCACACGAAAAGGAACAGCTTGGTGTCGAGATTGTGGAGTCACAGGACGCACAGCGGCGACTTGCTGAGCAGCTCCGTGATGTAAAAAATGAACTTGCTGAGGAGAGTTTTATGATACAACAATGCCGAATTTTTCTCAAACAAATTTGTCAGCCATCATTTCACGTGGTGAAGGGGGTGTCACTAGAACCAGTAGAGCCAAATAGGCCAGAGCCGACTGGGTTTGTAATGATTCCCTTAGTCATTCTCTTGCATGGGTATAGTTTGCTACCAGTAAAAGAGCGAGAAGATGTTATTCGACAGTATGAACACAAGAGTGCTGAGCAAGACGGTCAGTAAACGAGTATATTAGTCTAAATGGTTAATCAAATACACATGATTCTGGAGCATTTAGATTCAGGAAAAGAAGAGGCATGAAGTAAAAACACACGGATTATTACACACATGTATTTATTTATTTTCCAATGATTATTGAGAATATAATAGAATAAACATATATGTTCTCAACCCCCCAAATTGTTATTTATCAAATGAATATACATAATCTCATGTCTTGAATGCCAAAGAAAATCTGTCTTAATGGACATCCATTAACATGGAACCATATTTCCTATCAATAAAGGAGATTATGTAATTTTCTACTGAACTAACTAGGAGATAAATCAGAATCAATTCTGTGACATTCTTAAAGCATATGAGACAAAATACGTGACAGCTTGTTTATTTTACATAGAAAAACTATAAATAACGAGTAAAATAAAAAAAAGGATGGAAATTACTACTCTTTGTCAATAATCTATTTCCCTAAAATCAAATTTTAAGAATCCTAATTATAAATATTTACACATAATTGATGTTTCGAAGTCTTGTTCGCTTGCAGGGCAAGGACGTGCGCTTTGGTGAGGAGGCTCGCCGCTTGATACAGAAGGGTGTGTCGCGCGCTGTGGCTGCTGTTGCCGTCACGCTCGGGCCCAAGGGTCGTAATGTCATCATCGAGCAGGCGTATGGTTCACCCAAGATCACGAAGGATGGTGTGACGGTAGCCAAGGCGGTCGAGTTCAAGGATTCCTTTGAGAACATGGGAGCACAGCTTGTCAAGCAGGTGTGTAACAAGACGAACGACCTTGCTGGCGATGGTACGACGACGTCGGCTGTGCTTGTAGACAGCATCTTCAGCGAGGGGATGAGACACATTTCCCGTGGAACGAACCCAATTGATATGAAGCGTGGGATGGATAAAGCCTTGGAGAGGATTCTGAAGAGTGTGGAGCAGCAGAGCCGCCCTGTCAATGGCACGGAGGACATTGTACGTGTCGCGACGATATCCGCGAACGGCGACACCGTGATCGGCTCGCTGATCGGGGAGGCCATGGAGAGGGTTGGCCGCGACGGCGTGATCACGTGTCAGGACGGCAAGACGATGTCGACAGAGCTGGATGTTGTGGAGGGGATGAGCATCGACCGCGGGTATCTGAGCCCATACTTTTTGACTGACGCAAAGACTCAGAAGGCAGAACTCGAGGATGCGTTGGTCCTATTGAGCTGCAACAAGATCCAAAATATCCACACACTGTTACCAGTACTTAACCACGTTGTACGTACCGGCCGCGCGCTTCTGATCATTGCGGATGATGTGGAGAGTGAGGCACTGACAACCATTATATTCAACAAACTTCAGGGCAAGCTAAAGGTGTGCTGCATAAAGGCGCCTGGGTTTGGTGACAACAAGACGGCGATGCTGCAGGACATATCCATTTTCTGTGGCGCACAGCTTGTAGGGGACGAGGGCACTGGACTGGAGCTGAATGCTGAAAACTTCGACCCGTCGATCCTTGGCAGCGTTAAGAAAGTCACGGTGACAAAGGACAACACAGTAATGCTGAACGGCGGCGGCGACGCAGCTGCGGTGAAGGATCGCGTCGAGCTGTTGCGCGATCTCATTGCCAACGAGACGAGCGAATACAACTGCGAAAAGATAAAGGAGCGTCTGGCGAAGCTGAGCGGCGGTGTGGCTGTGATCAAGGTCGGCGGCTGCTCCGAGGTGGAGGTGAATGAGAGGAAGGACCGGATTGAGGATTCACTGTGCTCGACACGCGCTGCTGTTCTCGATGGAATTATAGCTGGCGGGGGCATGACCCTACTGCGAGCTGGCGCTGAGCTTGAGAGCTTGGAAAATGACGAGTCGCTGACGCGTGACCAGCGCACTGGCGTGCAGATTATTCGTAACGCGGTCCGCCTGCCTGCAATGACCCTTGTGGCGAACGCGGGTAAGGAAGGCGCCGTGATCGTGGATAAGATCCTCGAGAACAAGGACACCTCTGTTGGTTACGATGTGCTCAATGATCGCTTTGTGAATATGTTTGAGGCCGGCATAGTCGATCCCACCCGTGTCGTGCGTGTGGCCATTACGGACGCCACTTCAGTGGCCGGCATGATGATGACTGCGGAAGCCGCTATTGTGGATCTGCCCAAGACAGAGACTGCACCTCCGATGGGAGGTATGGGAGGTATGGGAGGTATGGGTGGCATGGGCGGCATGGGCGGTATGGGGTTTTAAGAGTAAATAGCTCTCTGTCTTTTTCCCCTTATTTAGTTGGTCACTTTTATTTATTTAATTTTTACTAATTATTATTAAACTATTATTATTACGATAATCTTTAGGTGCAAGAATAATATAAGGAAACGTTTTAATTCTAATTTTGCCTTTATATTTTCTTTTAAGAAGTAATGAGTATTAGAATGTGTTGAAATCCAGGTGATCTTGATTTAGTTACTTTTTGTTGTTCTTCAGCTCTTAGAATTTGATTTGTATTTTATCTTGTTATCCTGATATTCTGACCATTTTTTATACAAGTACCGATTATATTTATCATTATTGTACTTCAATTTAGTTGTATAAATTTTAAAAAATGAACTCTCAAAATACATTTTTATTCCGTTTAAATTTTCTTTATTTGTAGTATACTGGATGATTTTTTTATTTTACGAATTTAGTTTTTGTTTTGGCTGAATACACGAGTGGTCTCTTAGTATCTTTACAGTTATTATCAATATTTTACTTATCGTTTTTTAGGTTACAGACATTTTCCACGTTCCTTGATATTTTGTTTTCTTAAAGAAAACATTTTTTACACATTTTAAGCTAGTTTTTTATTGCTCCCTTTAAGTGTTTTTCTATTTTTACTTTTTTTTTAAATTTCCATAATGATTCAAGAGGATGCTGATATACTTTCCTCTTTTCAAACTATAAGGAACAATATTATGTTTCATTCCTCAGGTAGGTCTGGCGATAACTATTGTGGGACAAATTCTATGCATATGAACCAGCTGTTCTGTCGCCATCATCTCAATCCCAGTATCCTACTCAGTATGGCTCAATCACAGTGGATTCCCACCCGTTTGAGCTCACCGTCCTGTGTGCTCAGTGCATATGACTTTCAGGACGATTTTTATATTAATACGCTTTCTTGGGGACGTGAACGAATTGCCTTGGCACTTCGTCAAGATCTTCTTTTTTTTCATCCAGCCTCGCCTCGCCAAAAGTCGGCTACCACATGCGTCTCGGACATGGACTCTATGAAAGGAAATGACCACAACGATGAGTCTGGAAGCCCTAGCAACTTTTCTAGCAGGCAACCAACGGCCGTAGCGGTGACTCGATACAACGATGAAACTTGCTTCTTAGGCCTTTCTGGTGGTGGGTTGGAGCTCTTTCAATGCACGGAACATGGTGACCTTGTCCGTACTAATGTTTTTACAATGCCGCCGTCGCCGTATGAGACCCTCACGGCTGGTTTGGGGGAGCATTTGTTTCCAAGCAAGAGTACCCCTTCATTGCCAAAAGGGCTTCTATTGTCAAGAGCGAGCAAAGCGTTATCGCTTTCCATGTCGTCCGTTTCTAGCATATCTGGAGTTGCCACTTCTGCCACCCACCCATGGCTCGGGGTGGTGGCCACGGCAGGTGGTGAATTGCTTAGCGTGGATGCGCGGTCTACGAAACCGTGCATGGTGTTTGGGGGTAATTCCCACATTTCCAGGACTCTCTCGGCCACCAGCGAAGCTCCCTTTCACTTTTCTCATGCACGCTGCAGTTATAGCCTGTGTGGTGATCCCGATGACCCGAATGCCAGAGAGGCTTCCCCTTTTTCCCCCACGGACGATCCTTCCTCGTGTGGGAATGCACTAAAGCGTGTGAAGTGGGTATCAGACTATCTTAAACAACATGATCGTCTTTGCAGTGTAGCTTTGAACGGGAATGGTTCATTAATTGCCACGGGTAGTGATATGGGCATCGTGAAGCTTTGGTCCTTGCAAAACCCTCGTTCGCCTGTGCAGGTGATATCGTCTGACAATCAACGCACGATAAAGGCACTTTCTTTTCATCCACACAACCCGTACGAGTTGCTTATCGGTGGATGTGCCGGTAATTCTGGACTTCGTGTGTACAATGTGTTAACAACGGACCCCCAGCTGATGTGGTCTGCCAACATCGCTGCTCAGACCACGCAAGCGCAGTACTCGCCGGATGGGGGATATATCTTGACCGCACATGGTATCAGCGCGAATTTGTCTACCATGTCTGAAATGATGACTGAGGGAACAAGCGATCAAGGTGAAACCCCATCCACTGTGGTTCACAGATATCGCGGACCACAACTTCGATACAACTTTGCGGACGACAGCATGGACGAGGATTCGGAAGTATGTGATGGTAATACAGGAAAACCCGGCGGAGGTGGAGGAGGGATAGGGTGGACGGGTACCACGCCTCGTACTGTTGTGGTGACGCGTCAAGAAACACCACCGTCCTATTCTTTAGTGGTCTGGCGCAAGCCCAAGCGTGATTCCATTAGGTTTCGTCCATACGATTTGCTTTCTCAAAGCGAACGCGTTTTTCGTCGCACCAGTTCACCAAGGAGCCAACATCATAGACATTTTCGTTCGTGTCGAAAACCGGCCGCGACGACGTTGGCTTTACACCTTCAGTATACCATGGCGGGGCATCGGGCGCGTCCGCTCTTAGCTTGCCCTTTTTTACGCTCAAGCTATGATGGCTACGTGGCCTCTGTCGCCGGCGGGGTCGACAGCAATATTCGATTTTGGCGTGTCTTTCAGAAGACTAGCTGCGCGGGAGGCCTCTACGGGTCCATGGAGGATACCTCTTCCTCCTTGCTGCATTCAAGTATGAACGGTGACCATCAGGAAGATCTTCAGGAGTTGCGATAGTTCGCTGTTATCTTGATTGACTACTTTTTTTTTTACCATAAAACTTGATATTCATAGAGTCATCCTTAACATATTATTTGATTGAGAAGGCTTTATATTTGAAGGTGTCTTTAAAATATGCCTTTGCTTATGGTGATTTAGCGGCGACAGAATACTTTTTCTAACTTTTGTTTATTTTTGTTCCATTAGGAACGGCAATATAAATACAAGTTTAAGAATAAAATATAATTATATTTCGACAAAGGCTAAGACATTCATCAGACTCCCCAAATGAATTTCATTGACTATGCATTATTCATCAAATTTCTCCTTATTGTTGTTGTCATTTACATTTTTCCCTATAGGGGGGAAAATTGGAATGTATACATGGAAGAGATAGGAGGTTTTCTGGATGGCGAACTCAACTATAGCAAGCTCAAAAGTAACAACGTATCCCTGAATTCACCTGGAGGCTTTGTTTGGCTCTATAGCGCTCTTTATTACATCACTAAAGCTGGTGCATCGATTAGCTTAGCGCAAATAATCTTTTCATACGTGTATCTGATAACATTCGGAATGGTATTGTCTTTATATCGTCAAGCCGAATTTCCATCGTGGGTGAGTACACTACTTTTCGTCTCGCCTCGTATCCTAAGCACCTATTCCTTGAGCCTCTCAAATGACTGCTGGGGTATGTTTTTCTTATATGGTGCTATCACGTTAATTGCTGGTCGGAGATATTGGAAACTGGGATGCCTCTTATATAGCATGGCAGTTTCTGTTAAATCAAGCTTGCTCTTAGTTGGACCTGGTTTGCTTTATGTACTGTTTCGTTCACTATCGTTTTTTAAAGTGTTGTATTGTTTGGCGGTATGTGTTTTGTGGCAACTCGTTGTAGGTTATCCCTTTATTTTTGATGATTGGCGATCGTACGTGGGAAAGGTCTTTGCATTGAGGTCGATCTTTATTTTTGACTGCCCAGAAAATGATCAATTGTTTGAAAAAATCTTATGCACAACACCCTATCGAACGCATGTATTTCTAGCCATTGTTGTGGTAAGTTGGTTGTTATTGTGGCGGCTGCGGTGGAGTACACGATGGCGTATAACAGTGGATGATGAAAAAAAGGAGGGAGAGAAGAATGATATATTTCATGAGAAGGACTCTTGTAGAAGTCATATGATAGTTCTAACTTTATTTGAGTCTAATTTCGCTGGCTTGCTTGTGGAAAGCATATTTCACTGCGGGCTTTACACCTCTTTTTTTCACATGCTTCCTTACATTTTGTACAGCACTGAATATCCTATTTGGCTCAGTTCTGTTGTGCTAGGTTTGATCATACAAGGCTTTGAAATTTTCCCACCTACACACGGTCATTCTATACTCATGATGACAGGTATCATATCATTAATATTAGGAATTTTGTTCTTTGGAACCAATAATAACATCCGGCGTGCACACAAAAAAGGTGCTGCTAAAATTATAGAGGAGGAATATGACTCCAATAATTTTTCTTTACCGAGCTCATCTAAAGTATGAGGACGCATGTGATTAAGTAATCCGAGGTAGTATTATGTGCTTAAGTTTCACGTACATTTGCCAAATTTATTGATTTTACCAAGCCCTTGGTATTGAAAACAAAACAATCATATTACTTTTGAAAATAATGGAAATATGAATATCAAATTATTATTATCACTATTTTTATACATGGAATACTTATGAGCACTCATAGCTACTTACAGATAAAGCTAGGGTAATGTGCATTTCTATTTGCTCATTTCTATCGTATTCCATTTTTCTAGTTATCTTGTATTTGTGTCCATCATTTAAGTTATTACTTTATGTTAACAGTTGATTTTTTGCCTTTTGGCATTAGATTATCTCACTATAAGGAAAAACAATTTTTCCACTTTTCATTTTTCACCGTGATTGATATTCAAAATTGGTGTTCCCTTTTATTTTGGGTACACTTTTTTCCAATTACCGTTTGGGCTTCTATTTTATCCTCCCTCCCTCTACACCTCTCCACTTGCACATATATAAAAAATAAAGTAAAAAGGAAAATATCATTAAAACATGTTTTGACCTTTTTTAATAATACTATGGACAATAATGATTAAATCCAAACCTTTCTCTTCCATTTAACGAATTTTCAATAAAACAGTGCGTGTGAACTATATACATAATCTAAAGCAATTGGAAAAGAAAATAGATATTGATACACTTTAGCTTTTAGTTACACACGTTAGCGAAAGGACAAGGTCTTTCTAAGTCTTATTTTTTCCCCAACTTTTTATATTAGACTTAACTTTTGCCGCTTTTTTTTTATTGTGATTTTAATATTCATTTATATGATCAACTTGCTTGTTTAAACAGCAACCATTTCTGTAATAACAACACAAGGAAAAGCCTAGTAGCTATTATTATTCTGAAAAAAAAATGCGATCCCTTGGGTTTATATTTGGTATTAAAACAGACAAGACGACGAATGCAGTGGATAAGCTACCTTTGAAGTCTGCGGTTGACGCTTGCGAGGATGACCATACAGACAGCAATGATAATTGTGTGTTGTCGGAGATTGGGGTGAGCCCCTCTGAGTCGTACAGCAATAAATACGAGGATGGCATCCTCAGCGAGGAGTCCGTCGAAACGGCGGAGATCTCGATTGCTGAGGTCTCTCATCTCTTCAAAGTCTTTCAGCGCCTTCTTTCGTTGTGCAAGGATACACGTGAGAAGCACCGGTTAGTCAAGAAAATCAAGACGATTTGCGGCCAATTCGCGCACTCCAAGTCCTCTTTCGCAAACGAGGACCTCGGGTGTGGCCTTGGGGAGCCTTGCACGGCGCTTCAGCCCCTCCTTGAGGAGATTCAGGCGGAGCCGGCGGCCCTGCGCGCGCGCCACGCCCTGGCGCTTTATAATTTCTGCGTGGAGCTCGATCAGGAAATCGAGGACGAGTTGTTATCCTCCGGGACGGGGTTTCTCGCCGCCCTTCGCCAGGAAAGCGGCGGGGGACTTTCCGACCCCGCGCCGGCCCCCATCCCTCCCACTCTGGCGCGATGCCGGGAGGTCAATTTGGTGAAGATTTACCGCAATCTCCTCCGAGTCCGAGGCTACTTGCCTAGCGCTGGCGAATTGAACGAAATTTTAATTCGAGCCGACGCCTTATTTCGGGAATTGCCGAATATTTTGATGGTCCCTCTGCCGGTGGTTGTGGTGGGGGATATTCACGGGCAGATCCGCGATTTGCTCGAGCAAATCCTCCCCGCGGGCGGACCACTTGTTTCGGAAGAAATCCTCCGTGCGGCCTCCACCCCCTCCCCTCTTCCCAATACCGCCAAAAAGAATTCAACAGCCTCGAAAGGGTCCGCGAATTCCGGGCCGAAAATACACCCAAAAGGGCCCACCAAAGTCGGGGGGGTGCTTCCGGAGAATGCTAAAGCACCTCCTTCGTCCTCGGCTTCGAATCAGACCGACGCCAGCGCGCTCAGGACGAAGCCAATGGCGGGGAAACGAAAAAAAAGTTCGGAGGGCGCTCGGGGTGAGGCCGAGCTTGCGAATAAAAGCCCCTCGCCGGGAACGACAAGGACACCCACATATCTTTTCCTCGGCGACTTCGTCGATCGTGGGAAGGGAAGCCTGCAATGTCTATGCCTTCTTTTGGTGGCTAAGATGCTATCCCCGGACACCATCTTTTTGATCCGGGGCAATCACGAGTGCTCGCTGATTAATCGACATTACGGCTTTCTTGAGGAGTGCCATCAGATGTATCCCATTATTCAGAATCAGGTGTGTGATTCCGTCCTTATTTCCCCCCCGATCCTCAGCACGGAGGGGGAAAGCCTCAAATCGACTGCCCAAGCTGAGAAAAACTCCTCCAAACGCACGTCTCGCCCCGGCCATGGCCCGCGGCCCGCAAACCAAACGTCTCGCGAGGAAATGAAGGCGGCGGCGGTCGACCACGCCGCCCAACTTGCGCGTGAGCGGGCCGCGATGGAGACAATGGAGTGGGATCTCGGCGACCACCCGATCTGGATTATCGCGAATCGGCTTTTTGAGGCTTTGCCGCTTTGCGCGGCGATCTATGAAACCGTCGAGGGCTCCGAGCTCGACGCCAAAAGCCGCGAATCGACGCCGCCAAAGGAGCCCAAGCTGGAGAAAGGGGTCAAACCAAAGTTTTTTAGCTCGGAAAGGAGTGAGGAGGATAAACGACGGGTGGTGAGGATATTCGCGACGCATGGCGGACTTTCACCTTTCATTAGAAATAGTCTCGATGGCATTATCGCCATTAATCGATTCAAGGTTATTGAGAATGGTGCATTGGCGGATTTAACGTGGTCAGACCCCGTCTCCAAACACCAAGGCTTCTCTAATTCCCGTTATCAAGTGGTAAGTGACTCCGCCAACTGCTTGACAACGGATGATACGAATCATCATTTAGTCTTTCAAGATGATTTTGATTTTTCCGCCAAAATCGAATACAACGGTTCGCTTATAGGGTTTTCGCACAATGCCCGGGGGACGGGGCACACGTTTGGCGAGGACATCACCTGCTCCTTTTTAAAAATGAACAAGTTCAACTACATCATTCGCGCGCACCAGTGTGTGCAGCAAGGGTTTCAATGGATTCATCAACATCGTGTGCTCACCATTTTTTCCGCACCGAATTACTGTGGGATTAAAAACAAAGGTTCCATCGCGATACTCGACGCGCATGGTACTCCACAGCTAATTCAGTATGGCCATACCGAAGCAGCAGAGGACGAGGATGGCGAGGCCGCTGCTCCTATTCCGCCGCGCGATTTTTTTTGAAGGAACCATAAATATCACTAAATATATATATATATATATATATATAAAGAAAAAAAAAGTGTCTAACCACGAAAAAGGGTACCCAGTATGGGAGGAAAATACTAATGTCTCTGAAAGGGCAGCAGAGCTGGTAATGTGGAAATGCATAGTATTACCGCGTTTCATTTTTTTCCAATTATACCATCTCATTGTATACTGAGTGTTAATTTTAATTTTATGTCATGCAAACTGTCAATTTTGTTTATTATTATCCTTGTACGTGGATGCTCATAATTTAGTTAGTTTACTTCAGATGCTAGTATTTGTTACTTTATTGATGCCTTTTTCTGCACTGGCGGTACTTTTTTTTATATATGAGAAGGGGACTATTTTCCTTTTTGTCATGTTTCTGAGTGTTGCCGCTCGTGTATCTTTTTTTTCTTACATGTTTAACCTCTACTGCGGAGTTAAAATTAAAGCAAAACTGGTGGTTGTGATTATTATTACTATTATTATTATTCCAATACATTTTCATCGGTATATTTTTAAACGAAAGCGAGGGATACATGCTTGCCTAATTTCATATTTTATTGTCACATTTCCCTTCGGTGAAGGGGGAAGGAGAAAGGGTGAGG